TAAAGGTTGCAACGTGGGTCAGATATTTTGAGTTTAGTATGAAAGAAGTTCAGCTTGTTTTGCTGCGTGGTAGTTGGGACATGGAACAATGGTTAGGGAACTGGCAGGGATGGGAGGGCTGCTCTAAATCGTTCTGTGTGTAGAGGAGTTAGTGAGCAGAGGGAAAAGAAACGGATGGGCGAATGATGTTCCTCGTTTGCACAAGCTGGTGCAGAGGATTTGTTTGCGTGATCTTACCCGGAGTAGTTGACACAAAGTTCTGACTTACAGGACAGCGGACATTGGAGCTTCCTTTGAAGACCACGCTCGGAGCCACTTACTCAGTAATGTAAACCCTATGACCCAACAAGGAGGATAGGGATGTCGCACTCCCTATGCACACAGGCATGATTTTGGGGCAGCATCTGCCCCCGAAACATTTTCATTGTATCTTGACAGCACTGAAAAGTTTTCCAGCGGTCGCTGTCAACATTCGTTCCATCAGAGCGTGCGATTTTTTTCAGCTTCCAACGAGTCCTTCCTCAGTGGGATTCAGCATTTCTGCCTCCACTATATAGTAATGCCTTTCCAGAGTGATGATGGATGGAAGCTGCCTCGAAGGTGACACTGATGAGAGTGCCACAACAAGACAGTTTTAGGAAGGTGATCTCAAGCTGCCATTGCATGTGAGGGTGTAACAAAAGTAACAAACCTGTATTAGCAAAAGGTGACTTGCATGGAGGCAAAAGCGGTTACCGGCGCAACTGGCATTACAGCTTAGTTGTGCGCTAAACTTGACTGCATTTTTTGTTTTAGGCACGGCCCAGTGAAAAGCGGTGTTGTGGTCCTCAACTATTTGATATCCTTAAGATCATTGTACATAGATTTTCTTCTGTACGTTGAACGAGATTCAATGAGGCAAAACTGCCTAATTTCACGAAGATTACCACTGACGAACAATGACAGAATTTGTCATGTCGGTTTTTTTCACGACACAAATAATGGATGCGAATAGTGTGGGTCCACCCGAGACGACGGATGGAGTCAGCGGTTGAAAGCAACATTTGAACATCGATGGGGGCTTCAGAAATTCTGTGCTGGAATGCCTGTTTAAAAACACGGTGCACATTTACTCTATAATTTTGGCGAAGTAATTAAAAATACCTGCTCACTTCAGGAGTGATTCCAGGGCTGAGATGTTCCTTGGTTTTACTAGCAAAATAACCGGTTCATTAGGATATTGATGGAGCAGAGCGAAACCTACCGCAACAGAGATTTTTGCTGTAGAAGGCCTGGCAGAGGCACTGGCTTACGATGGTAAACATGTTAGTTTTTCTGTACATCACACGTTATCCACGTGTGGGCATGGATTCACATCCACATTTATATTACTCAGCCAATTTCAGGATAAATGATATCCCGCTTCCTTTTAATTGAAAGTTATTAACACAGAGATTTTGCTGTAGAAGGCCTGGCAGAGACACTGGCTTACGATGGTAAACATGTTAGTTTTTCTGTACATCACACGTTATCCACGTGTGGGCATAGATTCACATTCACATTTATATCACTCAGCCAATTTCAGGATAAATGATATCCCGCTTCCTTTTAATTGAAAGTTATTAACCACCGACCCGCAATCGGATCTTTTCTGGATCAAAACGAATAATCCAGGAGCAACGGAATCGATCAATCTGCGGCGATTTTCATCACATCTTTGGTCGTCTGGGCAAGAAGCCAGGAATTTTTCTATTAGTTCGTTTCATTTAAATTCTTCATTTAATTAGGTAGGCTCTATTGATTGTCTATTACTAACCTCTTTTCTCCCTTGATTTTCTAGAAGCTGTGAACAACTGTACGATTTTATGATGGATAAGCAGCATCATGCGAACCGGAGTGAGAATCAATCTCGCCATAAGATGGAAAGGTATGTGATCTTTCAAATGTCTTAGGAGATAAATTTTGCCACCCGAATTATACAAAAGAGACCGATGTCATAGGACGTGGTGCTAAACCACCCAGTGAGTTCTAACCCATGTGTCACGTGCACCCAACCTACATTTCCTCTGTATTAACCAGGGAAGCAAACGCAAACTGTTTCGATGCCAGAAAATTGGAAGTACTTCATTACCTCCCACAGGTAAACCACGCGGTAAACCCGTCGGTCAAATTCTACATGTTTACTCCCACTCTGTGCACTCTGTCATACTGTGTGTCATTCTGATTCCGCGAAGTAGGATGGAGGGCTGCGCCTGACATTCACATTATGGGAAGTCTGACCAGGACACCTTGGAGACATCAACAATAACGGCAGTATCGGCGAGAATGAGAATAAAAACGCCCTATGAATGACAGACCGTCCTGTATTTGAAGTTCAGAGACGCAAGAAGACAGCTTTTAGTGCGAACGCCCTGGGTATTCCCTAACGATAGTGGGGGAAACAGTTATTTTAGTGACAATTCAACTAATGCTTGGAAAACAACCGTAGAGTACTTGAAGTGATAAACACACAGTTTATCGATAAACAACGTGAAAGTACCGTATTTGGAGTGAGAATCGACAGCTGTTTGCTTCATACTCAAACGCGTGGTGCAAGTTAGGGCTAAAGTGCCCTATTTTAGGGCGATTTGGAGTGACTTGCAGAACGAGAAACACCATTACTTTTTTAGCAAGTCCACTGGTTATTGACTTCCTATTGAGTTATTCGAAGAACCTTATCTGAAACCAAAAATAGGCCAAAAATCTCACAAGACGAATACAACGAGTTTTCACGGTACGTTAAATAAATAGTTTTAATTATTGCGCAACGATATCAATATCCATCGCAAAAATTACTCATTTCATGGCCGTGTTTTATAGGATACATTTTCAAATTTCTAAAAACGGAGTTTGGATAGTAAAAGAATGTTTTTTTTAGGTAAAGTGCATTTCATAACCATAGAAATGGACAATTACTGCTTCGGGAACAATGCCAAGTCAAAGGACTAGATTTCTGTGCCTTTCATCAGTCTTTGAACGGCCATACCTGCCATGTTTGGTAAACAGATTGTCCCACTGAACAACCTACATCTGAAGCATACATTTTCCTGGTAGTTGATGATAGTCCCTTTAGAAACTATTTGAAGCAAGAACAAAATACCTGATCCATTTTATCAAGTCCAGCTCCAAGTTAAGTCACTACTACAAATATAAACTATATAAATTCAACAATAAACTAATAAAAGTGTACAAACCTCAAATCGGAATTACATCGGTTTAGTAACTGCTAATTCCTAATGGATCCCAAAGTCCACACCGATTCAAAGTCACGTGTTTACGAAATAGCGGAACAATGTTTTGAATGAAACAACACATCCGATGACAAAATCAAAGAACAGTTTATGTTCAGGTCAACAGCAGGAAAGGTAGTATAGGCGCAAAACAAAAACAACAAAAATATGGAATCGTCCTATACAACATAAAAATAAAAGAAAGGAATCAAAACCGTCCGCCATCAAAGCTAGTATGGCTTTCCCTGATCTACCAACTCGATCTACCACTTGCAAGAATGGGATCAGCGAGAATGGTATAATTGTTCTAAGGCGTTACAGGCGTTTCCCTCAACCCATAGGATGCGTCTAGGGTGGGTTTCTCTTTACTGCAGAAACTGTCATTTCTTCCGAAACATTTCTGTTGTCATCTGCAAGCCTACGCAGGGCAAAAGCAGTGCATAACGGGGAGGAAGTGGCTCCTGACGAGTGCACCTTTAGATAATGGGCACTTGCGGTTTCAGCAGCCGGGGTTGGTTCGAAAATACCCTATCCCAAGGCCGTTGGATATGCGTAGGAAAGTTTCGTGGAACCCATACAGTGCTCAATATCCCAGTGGGCCTGTAAGATATTTGTTCCTATCGAAATCGAGATGTCACTTCCAATAATTCGTGCGGCCTGAACATCCTCAAGGTGCGTCATCCGGAATTGTAGCCCTAATGGTGGGAAGTGACCCGATAGTGGAGGCACAGTCGACATACACAACATACTCGTCAAGCAAAGACCGTATATCATGGTATGCCTGATGTCGGAGCCATTTACCGATGATACTTCAACGCGCGTCGCTTCCCTTTTTATCCTAAGCTGCTTTGCCGCGTCGGCCCATAGTAGGGTGTTATCGGAACCATTGTTAATACAGTGCCCTGAGGCCCAAACATCCAGACTGCTACGAACCCAAGGTAGATGTGTGGTCCCCCAACTACCGTAGAGCTGAAGTTGCCATCTTTCGTAGCCTTCTTCACCGTCAGCCGTGAATCAGACGGTGATGTCGTTGATTCCAACGTGTGGGGACGCGATACTCTAATGTTCTGTGGTTAGGCTCCAGGCAATTGATGCACAACTTGAGGCCTTTTGGTCTACTCAGCTTCTTGACTTCAGGTAGGGTGCCACACACTTCACAGTCTGAAAGGTTATGAGAATGCAAATAATAAGGACAAGCTTTACTTGCTTTCATAGCTACGTCGTTGAAGCGGGCCTTGCTAGGTGGGCGTTCTAAGCTTACTTTGGCTACCTAATTAAATTTCTTCCTGGGCTGGCAATAACACCCTAGCTATTTGAAGCAATGGACGCACTTCTGTCAAGATAGCACACTAGATAATCAAACTTCGCCTCTGATCCGAACACAGTATATCGTCTGCCGCTTCAGCCCACCTTTACTGCAAACGCCGAGGAAGACGTTCTACTATTCGCACGAGATTTATTGAGCAGCTGAAGTCCGCAGTGTATTACATAGGATTCAATGCCAGATCACAATTAAATATCTTCCTGATCAGCTTCAATGAGTCATCGAGGTCTTCAGGAGCGATGGGCCCTCGAACCAGTAGTTCGTTCATGAACGACTGCGCAATGTCCTGTGGCCCGCCGAACTGCGTCCTGGGGATATCTATGGCCTTTTATCAGCCTGCCTGTCCAGGAAGGAACGCTAAGTGTTCAATGGCTTATTTCGCTTCCCCACAGCAAGAAGGAAGAAGGTATGTCAACGTGTAGCTATCATCAGAGTTGATCAGCTGCACTCATTTGGAATGCTTTCGTAAACTTTCCGTATTCCATCGGATTCCAGCTAAACTTATGTATTTCATTTTTTGGTACAGTGATCCCTGGCGCTGTGGCACAGTGGTGAACATGCATGCCATTTATTTCGTGCGCCGCGGTTCGAGGCTTGGACGCGCTATCCTTTCTAGACAGATTTGTAGATGGCTGTGCGCATTCTGATTCTTCTGGGTTCACCTTAGCTACAAACCTCACGACCTGCTGACTAGATGAAAATACGCGTTCACAGTCGCCTGACACCGAGCTCTCATCATCAGAGGACTCATAAAACAGGGACTAACTTCTGCCTTCTAATCATTGGCTCCTTATGTCGCGATTACTCCCTTTAGTATCTCTTTCTCTAACCTAATTTTGACGTAATCTCTATCCGTGTGTCTTCTGGACTTTAAACAATCAGCTACGCTTGACCTAGGGGGAGAATGTCGGCATAATAAAGGAGGCTGAGAAATGCCAATGTTATCAGAATCATCGTTCATCAATTTAGCGAGTTCTGGGTTCGACAAGGTTTGTAGTGCAAGATGGCGTATGAAGTGGCATGAGTGACAGTTGTGACCGGCATCCAATCATTATCCGTCATGTGAGGTATTACACACCTACTCATACTGATGAAACAAAATGAATGAAATGAAATGAAATGGGGAAAATCTTCTACTAGAATGTGTATATTGAAAGGCATTCACGCTAGCTCCTTAGCTACTGATGCTCCATGATTAACGTTTTTCCTTTCATGAATCATAACTTAGTAGGTCAAAGTGGCTGAATCTCACTTTGTTGAATCTGCTGGCTCGGTAAGTGTGTGCAGGTGATTACTAAGGGTACCTGTTCAAAGTCTGAGACTAAGAAAGTTTCAGTAAGCCTGGCTGTCGATACTCGGTAGCAAGTACAACTAGGTGACACGGATCGTTACTTCACACATTCTAACATACTACATACTCCGAGCACTTGAATTTTTAGAGCAAAAAAACGAAGGGCTGTTCAACGGATTTCGCAACAACCGGCGGACAGATTATCTCATAGAGGGATACCTTGAAAAATCAACTTTAGCGAACACTCCGAGCACTTGAATTTTTAGAGCAACAAAAACGAAGGGCTATTCAACCGACTTTGCAACAACCGGTGGACAGATTATCTCATAAGGGGATACCTTGAAAAATCAACTTTAGCGAAACAGAGGAAGAACCGATTGGTAAACCCAGCTTTGGAAGCCAAGTTCGCTCAAAATACACTCATTTCTAATTCAGTTTTGTTTTAACTGGAGACTTAAATTATCCCAGCCGAATCGCCTGTTCATTGCCTTCTTCAACTGAAGTTGTTAATTCAAGATTTTTTCAACTGGTACAATATTTGACGTTTCACAGTGTTTTTCTGAAGGAGATTTTTCATAAGTTGGCTGGAAGCACTTTTACAAACCGCAATCGATCTTTTCTTCCCATGCACTTATCAGATGACTCATCCCCCTACATACCTTGCACATCACATTCTACATAAACCAGGATCGCATGAAATTCCCTAATTTCACTCATTTGCACACCAGTTTGTTTTTAGCGGAACAGTCAACTAAAATTCATTTAAATCTCTCGTTTTGTATATTCACTTATATCTAGAGTATAAAGTTGCCGGAAATTTGAAGACTGTGCCTAACTAGTGAGCTCTTAGAATGACGAAACGGCCATGAGATTTATAGGAATTTTCAGATACTCAATGTGTGGTGTTCCTTAAGGTTCATTCACTTTTCACAGATAAAGGTGCAACGATAATCGTTTTTCAATAGAAACATGCTAGTAGTGTGTGGATGGAATTTCGTGTCATTTTCGTGGGTTCTTTACCGTGAAATATCACCACATTGCATTCAGCTTGCGTTCCAAAAATGGATGGAATTTGTTGGATGAAAAAAGCATCGTATCGGGATAGCCCCGCTACTCTTACTTGTAGACTTGCTGCCTGATTGACACGAATCAAGTTCGTACATAGTTTTGCAAACAAGAGTCCGTTAAAAAATCTGAGTAAAATACCCTGAATCAAACGTGAACACGATTCCTTCGGGAGTTAATTGACACGCAAACTTGATTAAAGCCAGTGCTGAATTTGGTTACAGTTTTTTTGTTAGCATTTATAATTTAATGTCAGTATGTGCTGTCATCAGAAGCAGGACGGGACGGCATGCAGTGGAAGAAAAAACACAGGCGATAAGGTATCCAAAATCCAGACCCAAGGAATGGTGCGTCATTAAGCTGATTGCATGAATCATTCATTTTTTAACATGTAACACATGGTCAGTTTGTGGTCTACATGATAAACCAGACAATGCGTGCAGCATGTAAAATAGGACGTCGTTGTCCTGTAGGTAGAGGATAGCCATTCATCAATTTTAACTGAGTTCATCGTCATAAAAGATTCTACACTTGAAAATTTGATTGCCGTTGTTTCTTACGTTGCGCACCAGAAAGATTAGCAGGAAACATCCATGTTCTTTTTATGAGCGCAAAACTTATTGGAGTTTGTATCCAACGCGGTTGACAATAAATCAAGTATTATGACTACGACTGCTACTCATTCGAACGAACTGGTTATCTCGACTCACTCAAACACAAGCAGTATAACTTTAAGCCTCGAGCTGATTACTATTTTAACGCTACTCAATTCAGACTTACACATATGAGAATTACCCCTACGTCGATTCAACTCCATCCTAGAGACTTGGCAGTCAGCAGTGGGATGCAAAACTAAGCGCAACCCAACCCTTAATTTGTGGTGTTCGGCTAGTCGCACTTCTCGTTCCGATATGTCATATTCATCTTCGTTGACGCCTGCTGCCATACCATCAGATGACCTTGTCTAATATGTAATATTCGCCGTGGTATCATTTCACCTATTTTATGAACGCGGTATAAACGCCTCCATTTGATCACACACCGAGCTCCAATCCTGACCTGTCTTTTTTCTCTCTTTGGTGGGTGGCCGGTAGTTTGAGGAATCACGAGTACAGCAGTCAGCCAGAAACCCACAGCTACAGCAACACGCCTAACGAAGCAAACAAATAAAACTTTTCTTAGTGTGAAGCAGTATTCATTCACAAACGAATGTAGTTGGAATACTATTTTGTGTTAACGTAGCTCTCCATGTCGATGAAAACCTGCACTGATGAACCTCAGGAAAGGTGAAGCAACTTGTGGCTGTCAAAGAGCTCAATGTGAACTTATTAGCGATGTGCTGCGTAGACTATGCAACGCGATTTCGTACCAACTGGTACATGAATCATACTGTGTAGCACATTCAGTTGAAGAATACTGAAAACGAGGGATTTAGCTACGATTCAGGTGGATCCCCCATTGAAACTAATAAATGTGTGAATGAGTGCATTATGCCGAATAACTCGTTGTTGTAGCATTTCTTATAGCGCTGTGTGCCTAAAAATTACCACAGGTAGACGGTTTGACCAGGAATTTTTATTTAGGCGAAGAGCTGAAATAGAACTTTGGGCCTCTGGTCTAATGTGACTGTATTTGAACAAATCAGTTCAAGCAAGTCATTGCCAGTCACCATGATGTATATGAGTGTTAGTGATTTGAGACCGAAGTAAATAGGAAGTAAATGAAGGGCAGTTTACCGAAATCAGAGCACAGTTAGAACTCATTCGCATTTATACCATCACTAACAAGCTGTTTACTGGCCAATCGATAACTTGTCACTCTTCATTGCTAGACAAGTTTGAATGGGTTGTCTTTTAAGAGCGTAAAAAACATGACTTTCCGTTCAGTTTAGCTGATTTTTCATCGAATTCTTACGGTGACCTTGCCACGTGGAACGCATTCACCTTCAAATTTCGAGCCTTCAATCGTAACATACCAAGCTTATCCGGAAATGCGGTTTTTAGTAATGTCGTCCGGCTAAATTTTTTCGTTTGAGATCTTGACACGAGAAATCACCCAACAGATAAAGTGTACACCCCAATGATATTTTCTGTGCTGTACGGCGTCCGAACGTGGCATTTGTACCAACTGAGTTCATTTTTTGGCCTAATTTGACTAGCTAAGCTGCGGGACAGACTCGATGCTATATCGTGATTGTCTGTCTTTTTTTGAGACTTTGTTTACAGAGTCTCGGTCACAGTCATAGTTACAGGCCCCAAATACACATACGTACATTATATATATTCATTGCTTCATTTGAGCGGTATGTTGGAAATCATCAGTTGGAATGATCTACTACAACTCTAGTCCATGATGATTCAAGTAGCTTCTCATGGCTTTACAGCATATCGTCTTGTTACCTCCTACATATCATCACTGTAGTGCCGTCTTTTAATGAAACCGCATGTTTTTTCACTACTTGCAAGCTTACGAAACTGTTTTTGTGCTGTATCCTTCATTGCGACGTCGCTCCCTTCTCATCAGCTCTCTCGCTCAGCGCGCCACAGGTCACACAATTCGGTGAGCGATTTATTGACTGTAGATAGAGGCTCCCCTTACTGTTAATATCTTTTTAGACTCATATTTACCTTAGTTTCGTTACACACCTTCCTTTTCATGGTTTTAGTAGAACAGGGGAAATATGCACTCACAATTGGAGGTACGCCAGCCTGTCAGACACAAACGAATCAGCAAGAGAAATGTATACCTTGGTGTTAAGCAGCATTGAATTGTGCGTATTTAAGATGTATGTGCAAAGGCTAGTTGTAGAGATGTAACTTGGTGGCAGAGTACGTTTATCACAAGTCAAATAAGTAGCATTTGCTTCCTACATGCTTTGCTCGGCTTAGATAAACTACGTCGATACACTTCAGTAAGCAGAAAGTCAAAGCTGTAAATTTTAGGGAGCTGGCCGGGATGTGCAAAGCATTCAAGAACAATGGGCTCTTCACATAGAAAGTTAGTCAGTGTCCTTGAGAAGTTGCCGTGAGGAATTAGTTTGTTAGATCCTTACTATTCCCTACCCTTGCTACATTCTAACTCTGTTCAACTTACCAGCGGCCCATGGTCTTGTAAGCGATTTTTCGGCAGTCCAGCGATCTATCGCTCTGCGGCTCCTTACATTGAAAACACTGTTATGTCGCACGAGTGACAATGTGTCCTTGTAGAGAGTGTAACGCTTGTACTGCAGTCCCACAGCAGGATCAATACATCTATTTCAAGAATCTTACGCAACTAAAATGGGAGAAGCTATTAAACAACCTAGAGATAACTGCCACTGATGAAAACCCCCTACTTAGTTCAACTACAAATCAACAATTAGGAGTTTTGATTTGGCCATTAAACACTTGTTTTCTCTAGCCAACCTTCCCCCCTGAAAAAACTTGATTCACCTGTCAAATCAGGAAGGTTTGAGCGCATGAAATGAGAGAGTCATTGTAAGCTGATCGCGAGTTAGAAAAAACCGTAATGTAAACATTATCTCTATAAATACCATTATATCTCAGTGCATTACCCATATGGTTACCTAGAAATCTAGTAACGAGATCTGCCTTTGAAGCACTTTGGATCATTTGAATTATATAAACAATGTCTGCAAAGTCGCAACATAATATATTCGGCGTAACCGCATCCTACCTGAATTCAGACAAGCTAAATTGCAGAAGTTTATCGGCCCTATGTTTAGTTCCGTGTGATATTATCGATTGCGATGCCTGGGTTTGAGTGATCTTGGAAGAAAACATGCTGATAGAACACCAAATTCGGGTGATGTACGGTGTTTGTAACGCACACCTTTACGAGGCAGCATATCGCGTATTGAATTTCCAATAAAACCTAGCCTGAAGAATATTTTTATTGCCAAAACTTCAAGTGGTGCCCACAGAAAAGCACGATTCTTCAACAATAAAACTGTTGCACTATAATTTCACGTTTTTTGTTGATCACAGCTTTCGCATTAATCTATATTTTATGAGAAGGCAGTCAGAAATACTGACACTATCGTCTTGGGGGCCGAAAACACATTGTTACCTGGAAAGACGACTGCGACTGTAATGATATATTTTTATGGGACAGAATGAGATAAAAATGCCACTTGGGAAATCATGTGACCTGTTTGTATGTTTCATTCAAGGTGCTCAACTATGAGGTTTTCCATGAACAAACTGACTATATTGCGAACACGAGAACTAAGCTGAGCTTATTTTCTCTCCAGCAGTTAAGTGTTTATGTCTAACTGAATGTATGGGAAGTTGATTGCGAGCAAGCAATATGCTCAAAGCGTTAACGGTCATAATTGCCAGGGACCAGTAACAGCAGTCTGGGTAATCATTTTTTAAACCAGGATATAAACGCTGAAAAAATTCATCCGCGTAAATGATTTTGATGCTTCCTAGTTATTTTAGTGCTCCATTTATACCCGAAAACAAGCGTCTGCTAAGGGATAGACATTCAGAGTGAATATTTTTAGATTGCCCGAAAAGTTTTAATTGTTCTTTATGCTTTTTTATCTCACCTGAGAGATACATCAAAATATAAACTAGCCGCGATATAGCATAGCTTTGTTGTGCACACAGTGTGATGCTCCAAGTATCAAAGAATGTGGATGTTGATACGTACCGTAAGGCTATGAACTAATGAGCAGTTGAAACATCATGAGTTGATAACAAATGCTTAGGAAAAGTTATTTCAAATGCTGTCTCAACAGTTATCCAGCAATGCCCAGTGCCGCTTGGGAGACCGACGATGTGATCATCTTACCCGTTTCCAACAGGCTGGGGTATTCTTTAACCTTTGCAGAGTTTTACAAAGCCTCTTTCAACTGGCCCAACAATAAAACGCAATCACACTGAATCCCAGGCTATCCGAAAATGTAGGAGAGTGACTCAGCTCTCTGTAGGTCTGTTAATGCTAAATTTCAGCCGACACTGGGTAGCGCTGAAACATGTACAATATTGTCGTGGTAGGGCGATGGCTGTCGCCCGAACAAACTTTGCACACGCCATGCTGAAATTGTTGGGGCCGAAGTCTTGGAATCAACGCTCGTTTACTTGCGCTAATATGGTAGATCATCAAGGTTTTGGTGTAAAACAGAATACACGACAGCTAGTCCTCATCACAAGACTGAATAATAATAGCCACACATATTTCATAAATATATTTCATGGAAATCACTTAGAGCCTCGACTCATCAGATTCAAAGCTGTTGTGAATGTCATTTATTCCTTTAATCAATATTCATTGAACCCAAATTTCACTGGAGCTGAAGTCGATGAGTTTCTTGGTAAATCCATCCTTTAATTAGAGAGTATAATTCCTGAAAAATGGGCATCCTACAACTTAGCAGACATAACACTGATGCTGAAAACAAAGTTTAGATGAATAGCAACCAACAGGAGTAAATTAACAAAAGTAATCGACATGAATTGACACAGGCTGAGTTGGGATCGCTTCATTTCTGTGTTTCTATCGTTATCCTCAACTAAGCCGTACTTCAACTGCGTGGAGGGAATCCAAAACAACACAGAGATGGACAATCCAGCAGGGTGCCATAGATAACCCACCAGCATAAGTCCACTTTGATTGAGACATTTCTAATCAATTCATGAATATTTTCAGGGAAACACAGCTGTCAACGTGGGGCTGCGGAAAACGCTCACATTAACTCCTCTACTAAAGCCATGTAAATCAGAAATGGTGTACAACGCTTGACTCCATTCTACAGTTTTGCATCACTTGGTTGAAACTTGCATATATATTGCCTCATTACTCTTTCGTCACGTTGACTTACAGACTTCAGCATTTTATGTTCAAGTAACAAAGGGATTCATCTAACATGTAGGAAACAGGCCGAAGCCATCTGTGAATCAGTGTGAGGATAAGGCTCAGGGGCTGCGGAAAACGCTCACATTAACTCCTCTACTAAAGCCATGTAAATCAGAAATGGTGTACAACGCTTGACTCCATTCTACAGTTTTGCATCACTTGGTTGAAACTTTCATATAGATTGCCTCATTACTCTTTCGTCACGTTGACTTACAGACTTCAGCATTTTATGTTCAAGTAACAAAGGGATTCATCTAACATGTAGGAAACAGGCCAAAGCCATCTGTGAATCAGTGTGAGGATAAGAAGAAGCTCAGTGTCAGCTAGATAGTACATTTCAGAGGAAACTACAAATAACTGTTCACCGCAGGGGACTGTCTGAATACTGGTCTCAAAATTGGAAGTGTAGCGTTGGTGTCGTCTTATTTATGCTCAGTAATGAAATGTTTTACTCCGTTTGCAATACACATGTGAAAATAGACTTTTTCGAAAGCATTTTTGGCTGTATTCTGCTTGTTAACCAGCGGAGATAAAACCCTGCTTTCTAATCTGCCGACTGTTTCTGATGCAGGTGACATTTAGTAAGGTGGTTGCATTCCAACATTTACCAGTCGCCTGGCATACGAAACCTTACATTACTTAGTCTTACCAATAGCACGAAATTCAGTAAGAGACTTCATGCACCACAATGGCCTGTTTCATCTGTTACTATATACCTACAGATAGAAGAAAACCAACTAAAAACTACTCACTCCCTTCAAACCATCAACACTCCATAGGTAGCCCAGAGTAGCAATACATTTGCAAGATAAGTGAAACCTTCATCTGAGAAGCCGCCTCTTGAAGAGCTTGCCAAAGTATGACCACGGAGTGCGAATTTTGTAGTTAAAGCTTGAGTCGCGGTGTATCTTGTATAAGTGCGAGTTAATCATGCTGCTTATCGGCCACTTGTATCCGAACGGTTAGGTTTGAACTACTAGCCAGGAGGTCGCGGGTTCAAACCACCCTGGAGTTCAGTAATTTCCGCATCAGTGATTATTACCAATAAGGATGAGTCAGCCGTACAGTACTCCTCGGCTTTTTTTTAGCTTAGACCGGGCTCACTTACAGGGCAGAATTTCACTTGACCGTTCCGAAAAAACGATACAAGCAACCACTTAGCTACCAACAAACAACAAGAATAACACGGCCAAATCAGGCTATTTTAAGTGCTGCTAGAAGGGATGTTCTGCTTCTTCTTACAGGTTGCAAGAATGCATCATTTTATCTCCAGAAAGCTTTTCAATCAGGCACACACCATTGATTAACAGTATAGTCAGGTTTACTCCCTAATTACACTAATGCCTCCTGCCTTGGTGAGTGAAGGGGATTACAAAGCAGGGCGCTGGACCAATTCGCCCTCGTGCTTAGTTCACAAAAAAGCAGGCAAATTTCATTCTCCCAATTCAGTAGTAGTGCTGGTCACATTAGTATATCCCACTTCATCATATGCTTGTATCCACGTAACGCAGCAACCTGTCGTAAATACGCTTTAAACACTTTTGACAGCATGTCAATATACCACTTCCGAAGCACTGGCTAGATGAACTGGTGAACTCGTGAAATAATGTGACGGTCGCATTAGAGTCGCCTCCCAGTTTCTACGACGTGTGATACTATTCAGTTTTAATTCTCTTCAGGCAAGCATTATTAGCCTTTTTTGATAAAGTAAGGAATTTTGGTGTTAATAGTGTTTCACCTCAAAATTTTTAATGTAAAATATCAAAGCATCGCTTCGGTCACAGTTAGTCTCTACTGAGCAGATGTAAACCAGTATAGTCCGGGCACTCCTGAGCGCCGAGAAGATCTGAATTCCACAAGAATTAACAAGGATATCTCACTGACAGGACAGGACAAAGGCACCGGTATGGTCACGACGAATGTACTTGGCTATAAAGGTGAATGTGATCAATACCGTCTAACCGACCCAATTTTCTTAGGAACTAAAAGGAATAGTACAAAACAGTAGGCAGAGACAGATAACGAGCTTGCTGAAACCTAAAAGAAAGCCGGTCGGTCAAAGCTGAGATATTCGCGAGATGACTGAACACAATATTCCACTGATGTAAGGGCTCCTGAAAGTGACAGATGGAACTGTCCCTCACGTAATATCCTAGACATTAGTAACTCCACGCCAAAGCGCACAATGACTGGTAGGTATACTGTGTTTAATTTTTTGTCGACTTTGCTTATATACCCTCGGAGACGGCCTTGAAGTTGAAGATTCGCCATGGCCTGAATATATCGAACCATCACTTATATACTCTCCTTTCTGTTTACAAACATGCCCCTCTAAGTGTGCCCTCCTTATAATGAAATTTCCGACTTTAGCAAACACACGCTTGAAGAACTCCTCCCGCGTCATACTTCCGAGTGACTTTACACCCACTGGAGTACACTACCACCGGATTGATGGGATAGGAATTGATTTGCCGCCAGGCATGCACCGGCTGATATATATCAATTGGAAAACCAGAATGTCACCACCTTCAACAGCCAATCAGCAGCTCCAACCCGTACCGACTTTATGTAGATGATATTTTTTGAGGACACGGAAAGACATCACGGTTTCGTCACATCTGAGGCAATTAAATGGACCTAATTCGTCAATCAGGTTAAGATGAGTAGCTGAGAATAAAGACAAATACCATTAACTGGAGTGTAACTAGGCAGATATGCTATTTGTTACAAAAATCGATGTACATGGACAAGGCTGTAAAAACGTTTTTACAACCTTGTCCTTGTAAAACAAAAAAGATGAGCAACGCATACAGATGAACACACTGTCATTCGTGGCCAAATTGCTAATTGCCGAGCCAGTGGGCACTGCCCAACCAAGGTCGCGGGTTAAAAATTGAGTTCCCTAATACGTGCTCTACTGATGAATCTCAATTGGAACGAAAAAGTGCTGCATTTTGCGGTGGATTTTTAGCATAGGCTGACTTCAGTGTCAGGAGGAAATCTTCACTGAGAAGGAATGTAGTCCATTCACAGTCTGGTAGAGAAAGAACAGGTTGTTCGAATAACGTCATAGAGATTGACTAAAGGTGATTGTCAATACACTGAAACAAGGCAGGTTTCGTCGGAAAACGTTTGATCAATGGGACAAAAAGACCTCATTAGTGAATGCAGGAAAGAAATTTAACTTTGCAAAACAAGGAGGACTTTTCAGCTGAGCAGTTAGCTCAGCCTTAAAACTCTTGCTGCGGAAGCATTACTAGCCTCTACTCAACAAGGCCAGTTTCATTTATAAAACCTGGTCACCCACTAACTGGAAGGCAAGTCCTAAGTGCGAAGTTGGACTACGCTTGGTTGATTCTTGAGGTGATGCTGCGTGGTTGGACAACAAGACGTTTGGAGCGCCATCCGACTCGGTTTGGGAAAGTTCGGAAAGTATGGTTTCAATGTGTCTCACTTACCCGAGACAAATCACAAAGTAGATTTGGATTCTGCCTTCATTATAACCTGAAGGAAGCTACCGACCAAAGGCGGTTAAACAGTAGACCTTAGCTGGAGGATGGTATGTCGCCATTGGGGCCGGGAAAACTTCTCTACATTTGAAATGGACACCTGCACACATCGCGCTTGACTTGGATTTGTATGTTTGGTCAATCCAACTGCTCCCCCACAATGACACTTAAACTATTCCGCATGACGCCGGCAGGCTCTTCATAATTTTGTTATCAATTACTTGGACTGACTTATTTTTTACTTTCACTATATTTTGACTTTGAAACTGTGTTGATCAAAATAAGAATAGCTCGTTAAGGTGCTAAGACCCCCATACCATTAAAGGTTTCTCCAGTAAATTTGCTGCCAGATACCAGATGCAAAACCTTTTTAAACTATTAACTATGATGCCATTCTACTTTTGCGTATAATGAGATTTCTACTGTCAAGTACGGTTAGTCTGCGTAAGCTTCCACACCTGATTCCATCGGCAGTGCATGTAGCTCAGAGCGAAATAAGGTAATGATCGCTATTGACAGGCATCTGTACTGCCGTCTGGGCTATTGAGAGTACAGTTGGAAAACAATATGTTTTTTTCGGTCATTTCCGGCACTTGATTGCAGCACCGAAAGTTGACTGTAAACGGCTTTCGGCTAAACTTAATAGTACCCACTAATGGCTGGTTATTCGCGAGAAACTCCTGGAAAAACATGGCTTTCCGAGTGTCTTGAAAACGAAATAGACCTAGCGAACCGGCTCTTCCCAGCATGACATCACATTTTAATGTGAACAGAAACACCGAACAAAATAGACACAGTAAAACTCTATTAAAGCCCATTACCAGAGATCAAATCGGAGTGATATAGAGGCAACTTGAATTGCATCACTTGATCAGAAACTGTGGTGGACAAACTCCTAAAGCATCAAAACAAAACGCTACAAGCCAGTCTCAGTGGGTTAACTCTCGGTGGTTAGCATTTCCTCAGAGGATGACTTGAAATCCCAGCACTGTTCTTCTATAGGCGTACACACAGCAGACTTGTTCTAGTTGCTTGTAGAATTGCGGACTTGTTTTTGAAGAGTTGATAAACCCACCAAACACAAGAAAATCTGCCTTTACCTTTTGGCACCGTTTATGACCAATAAACTACAAAATGTAACTTGGTATAATGCAGATCTATAATGTTTGTCTGAACACTTTGGGCAGTTTTTGGACCAAGAAAGTAACCAAGTAGATGTCCTTGTGTTAGTTTTCTGAATAAGCTGCGATGTGTACAAACATTGTGCATTCATGATAGTTCGAATTTCATGTGCTTGTGAGCATGCTAACTGAACACTTAGTTTTATGGTGAGTGGTATAAATTGTCAAGGAGCACAGACGTCTTCTACGCTTTTAACATACGTAATTTGAAAATTCGTGATTCCAGAGTGCGAAGTCTGCAAACAGCCACTTTCGATAAATTATCATCATGTAAATATTTTCTACCCAGTCTGTAGATGAAACGTTAACAAAAATGTGGACTTGCGGCAATTTGTTCTTAAATTAGGGGTTTTCAGCAAAGCGGATATTCTACCTGATAAACGGGAAAAGATCGACCATTTAAATGTGCTAAAATATAGATTAGTTTAGTTGTTTTTGTTTTGATACAATCACTTGTTGGACTTGACTCACTGTTTAGCGGAATTTGGCAGTTCTTAAGCGGCTGAAAAATCGATAAGATGTTCATTATGAGTGTTGTTTTATGGGAACAAAACTGGTAATTGAGAAGACTATGATGTAGGAAATTGCATAAATTAAAGCCCTGTTCTTCACTCACACTCCTTGTTACATGATGAGTCATTCAATTTCATTCAGTTTCAATATTTTCTGCTTTGCATCTCTGACGTTACACCGCAGTTGTACTGCGAAATAAATTGAATTCGATTTGCTATCCTTTAGGAGAAAAATATGGTGATTGTTGGATCTATTAACTCAGATAGCACATAAAAATTTATGGGGCAAAAAAAACCGTTTACCATAATTAACTACAATACATTCAAAATAACCACCCATATAAACAAGCACCAGTGCCGTAAATTTCATCACTTCTGAGCTACTCGCATGACTTATCCTTCTGGTAACACAGGATTCCGAAGTTTTAATTTGTAATGTGATAATCACATTATCGCCCAGTCACTTACTTTAAGGAATAATCTAAACTAAATGGTTTCTTCAGCCACCCATCGAGATAATGAAACAATATGCAATAAAAATATTTTAGAAAAACTGAAATAAGCGAGATTTCATGCTAGCTGCAATACAGTACTCCAGTCGGAAGGTGTTCATCAACATGTTGACACTTTTTACACTGAGTTGAACACAAAACGAAACAACACCAAGGACAGAAAATGAAATTGATTGAACATTTTCATTTATTGGTGGTGCGTCATCAGAACACATTTCTTAATGTACAAGGGAGTGAATTTGGTAATGGTGTTTTTGTCTTGTCAGTGAAGCTAATATATGCTGAGGAAGCAAGGAATCCTCGTCAGTTGGCGACACATGTTGACGAGATGATTAAGCAACTTCTTCAGAGCTTCCTGGATTTTCATGAGCTTAGCGCTGCTGATGGTTCCTAATACAGGTGAGTCAGAGTTTGGGACACTATACCACTTTTAAATATTGAGGGTAAGATTTCGCGAATCACGTGCGCGCATTGACAGCGTACCTATTCCATAGCACAAACTTTTCGCATTTGTTTGCTATTTACTCGGTTCACATCAATTTTACTGCAATTTCTGTATAAAAACGTATTTCAACAAAGGCAGTCACCGGATAGCAACGAATGCCGCGGCTGCCTCCAACAACTATGCACACTTGATGCCAAAATATATCGCATAGTTTGAGCTGAGAGCCACGAAATATATTCGTGCCCAGGTCATCACGGTCGTCATAGGTAACATCCGAAATTCCACTGAAAATATGCATTTGTCCGTTTCGCTAAATTCTGTTCTGTAAGGCTTCCAGATTGTCAAGTTTTTTTCAAAACACTAACTTACTGTTTCATTTGGAAAATATCTGTGGCCTTACTCATGTTCCTCGTGCTCAAATGACAATCTTTGGGGATATCAGGAAAGTCGTCAATAGGTGAGACCTGATGAAACAGATATAACAGAAGATTCGAATCCACAAAATTGTCTGTAAGCGGCTCTAATTTCTCGAATCCGAAGCCTGGTGAACCGTGTGCGTCCTTTTACGAAACCTGTCCGCTAAATTTACACAAATTTTATGTGTGCTTCCTGACATCATGGAAACCGCTTGCATCAACTTAGAGGGACGAATGCAGGACACCAGCTTTTTCCCCTACTTTTGTTCTTCACATGATTTCTACATCTATCGTCAACTACTGGGGATATTTCATCTCACAGTATTCAAGTACCTTCCAAACTTAACTTTGGAGACGAGGAGACTGAGTTTGAACAAATCAACAGTATTTTACGGAGTATTGATCACGTTTTGCTGGAAACGCAGTGGGATCAAATGAAGTAAGAGAAGATCGCCGTTTTCTATAAGCAATGTGAGTTATGAAATTGACTTTAGCATGAAGATGACACAGAATTCTGTCCAAGTTCACATTTGTTTTAGAAAATTAAAAGGGGAAATTCGATTGTAGTGCCTCTATACACCTACAGAATCATCGCTTAGATTAACCTATATTGCTAGACGGAAGTTGAGGAGATTTGGAACACCTCAATTAACAGTTCGCCCCGTCAGTGGGGTCCGTCTGTTCCGCGGCTGCTTCATCCTCATTGGGAGTTGTCAGCAGTGCAAATCTCATGAATCTCGAGGATGTTTTAAACCTGCAAACTTTTGGTAGCTGTATGAACATTTGGCTCTTCCATCTCCAACACCTGATCGTCATTTTGATTGGCACA